GAGTCCGGGTACAGAGCAGTGTGATCCCAGTATACCACTATCCAATCATTTCTTCGTCAAGGGAAAAAACGTACGCACGGTCATATAGGAGGGCTGTGCTCGCCATCCCTGACAAGTGGTGATTCGCATTTCCCGTTCTATCAAGCAGCAAGATCTGCACTACTCGAGCATCCTGACTGTCTCGAAACCACCTCCAGAGCCAGTACTACTCGGGTATGGACGTGGGTGACCGGACACCCAGGGATTACTGAGGTCCGGGCGAATGCTTGTGCATAGGCAAGACATTTTTAAAGCAGCACAGTATTTCATCCATTCTCGGTCTATGTCTATATTCAGTTAGAGGAACAAATGTGACTAGAGCTGAACAACAGGAGAAACAAGTACTTGAGTAGGATCGTGAGGTATCGTAGAATCTCAGAACTGGAGGTATCTCCGATTACAGGTTTCCAATGGGGGAGAACTTCCTTCATCAGCTAAGTTGACTCAATGTCTTTCATCGGTAAAAGCTATTCTTGTATTAGTGTAGAACATAGAACAGACAACTCGAGAAACTTGCATACAAGAAATACGAGAAGTTGTAGAGGAAAATAACATGTAAAATGGGTATGTGCCTATGGAATAGAGATAGAGAACTAGAATATAAAAGCCGGGAAGAAAGAAAGGTAAGTTCTATCAAGCATCTGATATACGCAAATCCACTCCCTAATCCCAAAGTCTCCTTTCTTTCCAATTAGTTTGCAGTCATTCCTTTAATCTTTTCCTATCATCTCTAATGTCTTCCCTTTCAAATTGGACTCAGCCAGACAATGAGTATGACCTGCTGGATTTAGGTTATGATGAATCTAATTTCAGCTCAGATAATGATTCTGAACTTGAATTTGAAGCAGATTCGAGTTCTGAAGCCTCCAATTCTATTTCACTAGCTGATGCTAGTCCTATGCCTCCTCTTCGCCTTTCTCTCTCACCTTTCGATCCTGAATTACCTATGAATCCACCAGTCGAGCAGCACCACTACATAGCTCCAATTTCCGAGGATATTGTTCAAGCTCGAGCTGTAATCAGAAACAAAAACCGAATGCGGCTCCAGACAATACTTAACGATATTCGGGGAAACCGCAAAGAACTAGACGAAAAACACCGTTATTTTATTTTCACTCTTCGCTATCAGGCTGGTTGGTCTGTTCGTCGTGTTGCACGTACTCTAAAACTGGCCAAATCTACAGTCTCTGATATTGGTCCCGATGAAAATTCGATTACCATTCAGCCCCGTTCAGGTCCTTCCTCCAAGCTTACGGGGGAGCAACTTCAGCAGCTTATCATACAAGCTACAGCAAATTCTCATACCCGCCGTCTTCCGTTAATCGAGGTAGCTCAGCGTGCTGGTATCGACGCTTCCCCACGCCTACTCCGTAAAGCCTTTGCAGAAAAAGGCTACCATTGTCGTGTCGCCCGCCAAAAACCATTCCTCAGCGTTGCTAATAAGGAAAGGCGACTTCAATTTGCAACAACCTACTTGCATTAGACCCCTGATGACTGGGCCCGTGTTCTTTGGACCGATGAAAGTTCTTTCAACATTGGTGGCGCACATGGAACTATTTGGGTTACATGGAAACCTGGAGAAGAATACCTGGAGGATTGCTTAGTACCGAAGTTTAAAAAACTTGGATCGCTTATGGTATGGGGGGCTATGACAGCTCCCGGGTTGAAGAGAATGGTTATTTGGGATAAAGGATGGGGACGAATCACTAGTGCTAGCTATGTTCGTCACATCCTGATTTCCTATATCTCTCCTATTTTTGAAGGCGAAAAATGGTATCACGGTCCCGGAAATCCAGTCTACTGTGTCGAAGATAATGCTTCTCCCCATTCTGCTCGTGCTACTGCTGCTGCCCGGAAGGAACACCTCATTACACCACTTTCTGAAGGCTGGCCCCCCGCTTCCCCAGACCTCAACCCCATTGAAGAAATTTGGCGCCGGATGAAAGACTTCCTCTACCGTTTACCTGAACGACCTACCACAGTTAGGAGTATGGAAGAGGCTGTATGGGCAGCTTGGGAATCTATTTCAGATGATGATTGCGAGCAGATTGTGAATACTATGCCAGACAGAATCCAGGCTGTCTTTGATGCACAAGGAGGTCATACCATGTACTAAATATCTCTCATTTATTCCTTTCCTTTCCACTCCTATATTTATCTATCCTTCTTGTTTTCCTCCTTTTTTTGTTTAATTTTTAATTTTTAATTTTTAATATTTCATATTATTATTATTGTTATTGTTATCATTAATTGTACCGGAAATGGATTTGGTTTTTCTTCTTTATAATTGTATTGGGAAATTTTTTCAATTAATTTTATTCAACTTTTGCTCCTACGAGTACTCTATCTCTCTAACTTCATGAGCGCCATACTCATATGATGAACAAAAAACCTTGCTGCTATAAAGGTGTCTTGCCTGTACACGAGCATTCGCCCGGACCTCACTAATCCCTGAGTGTCCGGTCACCCACGTCCATACCCGAGTAACACCGCAGTTCATTTCTCCAGTTCTCGATTTATGAATTGCACGAGTCCCCTGCCGAACCGTGCTGGACTGGTGTGGTGAGACTCCATGTCACAGAGATATCCCTGGGGAGCACGGGACCTGAAAGCCCGAGGGCTGTTACTCTTGACACACTGCCAATGAATGTTCCGGTTGGTTTGCTTTATGCCAACACTTGATGATAAGCAACCTCAATTCTGTATCCGTACTTGAGGATAAGGCTGCCTATCGAGGAGGGCTATGGTTTCGTGAACCAAGAAACGGGGTTCAAGATGGATGAGGGGCGAGAGGTTGAAGTGCTGGGGAGAAACCTATCTATTGATAGGGTAGCTAGAGATGTTTTAGTAGAAAGTAGGGATAATTAACCAGCAAAATAATCCCCGTCCTATACAAAAACATCTCCCCTGGTGATTATTAGCACATCAGTACTCAAGCACCCACCCGTACCTGCAGCGGGGAATCCAGAACTATCTCCAGTCACGCTCCCTGAAGAGGAGGGTCAGCCTCGCTTCACACAAGGTCACTTACCCCCCAACCTTGCAATAGCGCCCCCTCACCGACCAACCATCGTAGATTCATAGCGCAAAATCTACGCGCTTCTTCGTATGCATGATAGCATCAATAATCGGTGCCGCTGGGGCGTCTGCAGTCTGCCAGACCTTTATTCCTTTTCTTCCGGAGCCCCCCTGTCAGGTACTGTGCTGTAGTCTGTCTGCAGGGCATTAAGTTAGTAGTTGGAAAGCGATGTTCCAGAAGGTCAGAGAGAAAACAACGTTTGGTGTGGGTACTAGTACCTATCGGGAGGTTTAAGGGCGGTGAAAGTACCGTACATAAGGCAGCCTACCATATCTATCCTATCGGTTCCGGGAGGAAAATTGTATAGTAAATAGGGATTTACGAGTGACCTTCTTGCAAGCCCATTCTGTAAAAAAGGGGGTAGGAAGATGTTGGGCAACTTGATTGACTTTTTTTTTAGGTTGCCAGAAAGGCTTCGCTAACTTGTGGGCGCTGAAGAGCAGGTGGATGTCAATCGCAAAGGCGCAAGTACCTTACTGGCTATGAAATATTTTTTTCACCTGACCATACGGACGTAGACATTCTGCAACATGCTAGACTCCACTCCAACTACCGCACCAATATGGGCTTCGACAGGGATCCCGCGGGGGCCGGAGATATGCCCTTCTCAAGGACATCGAGTGAGCCTCGAGGACACCCAATAAGAATAAGAATACAGTGAGTAAGGGGGGGGGGTATTTTTAGAGAATTACCATTGCCTTTGTTCTGCAAGTAGTACTGCACGAATAACACTGCTCCGCATCCCCGCGTGTACACGGCTTCAGTGTGCTTGGGGCAGTGGTAAATTATTAGGACAACCTGTGATCTGAGCGTAATTTCTCTATTGGGCTTTTAATTCAGATCCTACACGCTTTAGCAATATCCGGTAAGAATTGATACCCGTTCCGGGAGGTTTGCTCGATTCCACCACTGATCCACTGTGCTTGCCCCAATACTTCACCCTTGCCCCGGGTACGGAGCTACAAGTACAAGTGCTCGAGCACCGTATGCTGCCGTGGGCTCTCCGCTTACTTGATACCGGCACCGTCACGAAGCACGGACGCCGTGGCCTGCCTCGCATGGGCTATAATCGCTGCGGGCCAGGAGTGGAAAGGGCCAACTGGTCATAGCAGTTGGCCTGCATTTACAACAAGGGTGTTCATGGCCTGAATCATGGGGTATTAAAGGTAGAAGAAAAAATGCACTCCGAGCTATCTTTATTCTCTCTGGGATTCAATCAGGATGGGCATTGGAATGGTTGGGTAAGATAATATGATACCACTCATACCGGCTTGGACTATGATACATAATATTGCGAAGACAAGAATTCTGGATTGCACTAGGGGATCCATTTTGGAACTACTTTCCAATTATCCTATAAGTATGAAAATTAGGAAGGTTAAATTGAAACGGGTGGAGAGGTGGAAAAGACAGATATTAAATTTTGATCAACCCGAGAATGACGTGGAGTGAGGAATGGGAAGGAAAGGAAGACCACATGAGAGCTGGTGCTGTACTGTACTCGCAACCAAATTCATGGGAGCTCATGACGAACAGCAATAGTGGCTCAAATAATATCATTGAAACAGCAGCAGGCCAGCCTCTGTAGACTCTGAGCGTACTAATTCATTGGGTCACATGAACCACTTCCTCAGCAACAGCATCTGTAATCTTTGTAATTAGTGATAAATTTAACCCAGTTTAAAAATATAGAACAAGAAAAAAAAATACCCTCTCCACCAAACAAGAAGGAACAAGAAGGAAAGGAACAAGAAGGAAAGGAACAAGAAGGAAAGAAAGGAAACAGAAATGAGATGCCCCAAAACTCTTCCAGCGTGGGAGTGGGGCAAAGGATAAGAAAATACAGTATGTGTTGAACACGATTCCAGGTAGCCAATTTCCACTATTTCTCTTTTTTAGTTTCTTCGTCATTGCTGATGCCGTGAGCCTTCTTAAATTCCTCAACCATACCGCGGTAATCTTCCGGGATGTATGGCTCGAAAAAGTCCGAAATTGCGTCAGGTTTTCTTTGTGATTTGACACCGATGTCTTGGAGGAGTTTGTCGACGATCTATGATTGATTAGCATGTGCTCGAATGGAATTTATGACCTGGTGGGTAGTTACGGGAAGGAATTCATAAAACTGATAAGTGAACTTATGGCCTAAGTTCAGGTAGCGTCTTCGAGCAAAAGCATTGGAAACAGCAACTTCATGCTCCATTTCCCCAAAACTCTTTCCTGGGTGAATCCGTCCGGACATCCAAGCAACAGTCCATAATGCCATAGCCTCAGACATTATAGAAGTCGAGTACGTCTTAACCGTGCCGACAAAAACGAGTGACCGATCCGGCTTCTCTCCAGACAGGAGCGGCAAGGGAACCATATCGCGCCAAAGCCTATATGGGGTATACCCTACCGGGATCTTCTTGTGTGGCGGGGGCTTCCCAAGACGCGGGAATCGCTCCACTACCTCCTTATCTGCGACTTCTTCCAGATAGCCCCACTTCATGCTGACCTCGGGAGGACATTGCTTGACGGGTGTTGGAAGTCCGAGGTTTGCGCCGTCCTCAAGGGAGAAGGCGGGTTGGATTACATCGTAGCCGGTAGCGTAGATGACGGCGTCAGCGCGGTGAGAGGAGCCATCATCCAAGTGTACTTGGTCGCCTTCAAGCTTCTCGATGGTATTGCGGTGGACGGTGATTTGGCAGCCGCAGTGAATCCAGTCGACGATCTCTGGCTGCGTTAGGACCGCGGGCCCGACGTTGATCCAGTAGGCGCTGTCGAGGATATCAGTACTTGAATGCGTCGAGTTGGATCCCATTTGGATTGTGCTTACCCATGATCGACAATATTCGGTGTTAGCTTAGCCATATTCTCACTCTTGGTGTATTCTACGTTACTCTGCATCGAATTTGTGGCGCGTCCCCAGTACTTCCAGTGAAGCCATTGTCCCAAGAAGTTCTTTCCACTGTGTAATGCCCAGTGCCACCAACCGTTTGTGTGAAGACTGGGGTGCAATTTGGAGGAGAATCTGGAGGTGGCAAAGTCATCGAGAACTTTCCCATTAGCAACTCCGGTGAGTAGCGGAGGAACACCTCCACCTCCCTTCCTAACGACCCAATTGACGTGTTTTCCGTTCGTAACACAACTATATATGGCATCAATTGCGGACTTGCCACCGCCATATACAGTGACGTTCTTGACAGCGGGAGATGTGATATAGTCGTAATATGTGCCCAGTTCTCTTGAGTGAAAGATCTTGGAAGTGGGTTTCTCGCTCGGGATATTGGGCATGATGGGCTTGGATGTCAACCCGGTCGCAACAATAAGTCTGTCACAAGTCATGAGTTCCGAATCGTCGTTGATCCAGACGTCCCATCTCTTGCCGTCCTCGTTGCGCACAATCCTGGTAACGACAGTTTTAAACCTGATGCGCTGCTTGATGCCGAATTCCTCGACGTAATCGTTCATGTATGCGTGGATCTTGAAGGCCGGGACAAATGAGTTCCTGTCTCCGCCCCCGATATCGATGTTACGGTCTGAATATTCGTATCTGCCGTATCGCTGTTGAGCGAGAAGGCTTGGGTAAATACGCGATCGACTCCATGTGCCTCCAATGGTCTCATCGGACTCCAAGATTGTCAGGTCGACATGCGGCTCGACCTGAAGATATCTAATGAAAGGTCAACCCCGTCACGTCGTCGAGGAAAATATAAGATACATGTTGAACGGAAGGAGGCGTACGTTTTTGCGGCAACCAGTCCAAACCACCCAGCACCGATGACAATCACTTTTGTAGACATTGCATAAGAAAGACAAGTGGTGCACCAAGATGAGATTGAGACTTCAGGACGATCAAGTTTCCGTGACTGAACGGAGGTCCATCCAGCGTCTGTGCCTGGTATAAATACACTACTAAGGTACCCCCGGGACCCCGAAGGCCCGCCCCTCCCCCTGCGGACGTCCTCTCGTGCAGGACTTTCGCAGGGATTCCTCCTCCCCCATTCTTTCCCTGCGTTCTACCAACATCACCGAGGTAGCAGGGGATATAGGGCGGGTAGAACGGACCACGAGGACAGTTTGTTGAAAGTGTAAGGCAACGGCAGACATAACAAACAAAAAAGAATGAAACCCACGAAGGCTGGGTAACAGGTAACATAGGGTCACAGAATGATAACGATCACCACTTACTCGTCCCCGGTCATAAAGTGCCGGAGGGCAGGGGGGATACCGGTATTTTGCGCTCGGGAAGGGGTCCTTAAAAATCGGAAGTCAGTGGATGGTGATCTAGTGGTTACAAGGGTTAAACAATAAAAAGTGGTAGGTAGTACGGAGCAAGGGTATTGATATCGCTTTTGGTCAAGTTTGGTGGCACAGCACAACTAATGCACCTAGAAACGCAACAAGAGCCTGGAAAGTAGCACTCTTTCGATACGGTAGGTGGATTGAATTGAACTTTTGATACCTCATACATCAGTTATATATACTCCTCAGAAAGCTGACCAAGGCAAGAGGAAATAGAAATCCTTCCAGGGTCATGCTTCTTGGGTATACCCGAGTGCCACTGCTAGTGAAATTTTAGTTATGCACCGTATCATACCGTCGTACTTTTACTAAATTCAAAAACTCAGACCAGTTGCTCCAAAGTTACACCTAATCGAACATGTGAGAATCAAAGTAAGTTATAGAGGAAATTTTCATTCTCTCGATGAACTTGAATAAAATTGAGCCATTTCCAATTATGATTCACATCTATTTGTTATTATGACGTCGTACCTGGGATATCTTACCGGGTAGCTACTCCTAGTTGTTACTTTGTACCGCCTCCAAATGACCTTTTGTTTCCAAGTTGGTCACTGTTTTAGACCCTCACCACCAGAACAAGGATCTCGCCAGTCCCCGATTCCTAACGACCCCCCGAGTATGGATTCTCAGACACGCTCAGATATTCCGCCTTGTATTTCGCAAATCCCTGTTTTCGGGTACCCGCGGCCAGGGACGAGAAATTCCCCTCGGGGGGGAAAGAAGGAAATTGCCACGAGGAAACATTCCTCAAATGAACCCAACTACTCGTAACCACAACTTGGGTTTGGTTCTGGGAAGGGAGGTTTTTTTCCTGTGAACCCCCCCGGAGGAAAGACGTAAGTGGGAGTTTAGAGAATTTTGATTAGTAGGTGTAATACTCGAGGGCTGTACTAACTTATTGCAACCCTTCGACATCTCTACGATATTAACTGCCCCCTCGAGGAAAAAAATGCGGTGCTAAACAAAGGCTGGCTCAATAATAGAAGCAATGGGTGAGCACTTGGATGAGATCGAGGATGAGGAGGAAGGTGTCTTTGGGAAAGGGGGGAAACTTACAGGCAGTATGATGAGTCGTCATTCGCTCAGTAACTTGAGGGGTGAGTGATGCATGGGAGTGCAGTACTGTGGTTTTTAACCAATCAGATCATGGATGTTGCTTGCCACTCATGCAGACCAGTTGGCCTCCTACTTCCTATCGACGGGAGCTAGGATCACGGGTTATCCATTAAAGAATTGGAAAGCCACTTTTCGATCCAAGGTTTAAAGGATTTAGAGATATGGTGACTAAGTGGAGAAGTTTTTGATAACCCAGACAATGACAATCTAGACAAGAGAGAGGAGGGAATAAATTTCTATTATGATCAGTCCCCGAGTACAGTACCGGTACTGTACCGGCGAAACCCATACCAGTACAGTATTGGATGATGCCTAATACGAGCAAGGTGCAGTAGAGGTACCGGGAGCTCTCTTGGCAAAACATCTTCCAATTTGACCGTCCGGCACACCGCCCAATTACTCACGTTTTCACGGTTGCCCTCGGGGGTTCAACATCGGTCGCTGGCGGAACCCTAGCTATAGTATCATATCCACGATGAATTCAACCCTACCTTGTTGATCATTCCTGCAATCAATGAGGTACCGAGACTTTAGAAACTCCTGGGGAACAAGAGAAAGCCAAAGAATTCCATTGTGATGTCTTGGGTAAAACGTCGTCATTTGGGGAATTGATAAAAAAGAAAAAAGTCTACTATCATACTCGAGAGGCAAGGGTTTGGTGCCTAAGGGCTGTTCCAGTCATCAAAAAAACCAACAGCTAACCCTGAACACCAACAATAATTCTAGTGATCACTTAGCGGTACATAACCCAGAACGTGATGCCATCATAATTGCCTGAGTTGTGTCTAAGACACAAGGGACAGTTTCCTTCAGCTCTCTCTCATTTCTCAAGAGCTTCTGAAGTCGTCGCAATATATATTGCACGGGGTCGGGGGAAAAGCGTGTTACTCCGGTCGCCACAGAGTGGCTTGCGTGCAAATGCCTTGAAGGAAGCGAAAGGGATACCGGCAGCACCGGTATGATAAAGTACTCGTACTCGTACTAGCACACTACTAGTACAATGCCCCTCCATCCAAAAAAGGAAGCCAATATTACGTGATATTGTAAGAAATGCCGAAGAGGGGTTTTGCTCAAGTGATTCGCCCGCCCGAGTAGAACTTTCACCGTCCCTTTGTAGCGATTTCCGGGCATTTTGCTACCAATTTTGCCACAAGGTCGCTGGTGAGGAACTCGCTTAGTGGCCCGTTGAAGCATGGGCACGAAACGACCATCCATGTTCAAGGAGCCCATGAGTCTACTGGTAGACTACCATAGCCCCTCCCTCCCGATTGATGCCGTACTAGTGCGGTCGTGTTGAAGTTGGACTCTAACTTACCGGTTTGTATGATAACTTATGGGAATTGCCACCGTTGGTGTATCGGTACTCGTACAACTTCAGCTAGGGAGCGAGCAAAGTGCCGCTTAGTAATAGAGTCAGAAAAAAGGTAGGGCCTTGGCATAATTTTCTCCCGCACAGTTCTTGCGCAATGGTGATCGTCACTTTTGCAATGGGAGATGTCGTTACAGTTGCTTCTCTATATTATAATATGATACTACACCCCCCCCAAAAATTGGAAATAATTATTATCTATACATTGCAAGATTGTGGAAATGGAAGAGATATGATAGGTTTAAAGTTTTCTGAGATTTCATGCCAAGTCCAAATACCTTGTATAATAATATTATCATACTGAGTTCAGCCTATCTACAATCTCAAGAATCTGGATCAGTTTTTGACCTTCAAAGATCACACCATGTCCAAAAGTTTACTACATGTGATATTTGGCATTTAGCTATCACATCCTGTTGGTACTGGGAAATACTGAGATGAAAATTGCACCAAGATTTTGTATCTTGTGTTTTGGTAGGTACAATTAAGAGCAGTCTAGTAGAATTTATAGGTATATTAAAGCTGAGGTATTTAAATTAATACCTGTTTTGATAAGAATGGGGTATGGATATTAGTGCCTTAAGCAGAAGCATTGTACAATTTCACAATGGATAAAGGTGGGCTAAAGTGATAATAGTATTGTTTGAAGAAATCTACATGTCTAGTAATTCAGTAAATCTGTACATTATCCAAGAAAAAATAGTTTCCAGAGTATATAAATGATAGGAGAAAGCTTAGAGATATTAAGCAGATAGTATGAATCTGTTTTTCTGGTATGATATCATAGGTTAAAGAGTATATATTAACTTATGTAATTATTTGAAAGTAAAAGAGAGAGGAAGTTCAAAAATAAAAGAATATATCGGGGTATTGGAGTTTTCTTTACTTGATTCTTTGAAGTAATTAGTGAAAATTTGTATTAGATTGCTTTTATATAGTATATATTGCAAAGTTCACCAAAGAATAGTTGAAGGAGAGTAGTAATATAAAGGTTTTGGAGTACTAGTCCATATATTCACCAGATCTCAATCCGATTATGCATATTTGGGAATATTTCAGGAAGATCTATCATAAACACTGCTAACATTTAGCTGCTAATACTTGATCAGCAGACAATATAAAGTTCTTTACAGAGGAATCTCTTATTCAATGCTAGAAATTAATAATACCTGACACCTTATTCGAAAGTCTTGTTGAAAGTAGTCCTGGGAGGAGGATTGCTGCAGTTAAGGCAAAAGGGTAGTATACCAATAATTATAATGACTCAATTTTTATTCAACTTGTTTTGTTGAAAAAGATTATTGGTATCATAGTCTGGGAGTGGTTGTTGCCGTGGGGTTGCGAGCGGGCGAGTGGCGTTGTCACGCCCGTGACGGTGAACTCTAGCATTGAACTGTAGACTATGCGAGTTCACTTTCCCCATAATGCCCCCCCTTACGGTTCTCAACCAATACTCACTCCACCAAAGAAATGAGTCGGCAGAATTAAAGAGAAACCGGTTCTAGTCGGTTCCATTCAGCGTTGGGGCCCGTTGGCTGTTGGATTTGGTGGGGTGAGCGTCGATTTCAGACGCCCACCATAACAGTTGGGAAAACCTGGGAACGTTCTAGGGCAGAATGGTTGGTAACCTTCGGCAGAGCTGCACTATGGGTAGTAGTGGTGCACCTACAGCCCTATTTTGTATTCAGCCATCGATACCGCTCAGGTTCTCCCTATACCCACTAAATTATTCTCTTCCTTGACAACGATCTGACTAACTTTTAGTCGGCCTCAATTTGGTCCTCATCCTCAGTCAGCGCACTAGCGGCTAGTACTGTAACTTGAAAGCTTACACTACCGTTTTATCACGTACACGTCCCGGGAACCGCCCCGTGAGGACCATGCCACCTAGGCGGCATGCTCTTCGTGAGGTGGCAGTAACACAAGCCGCGCATGCTGCAGCGTTAACCGATGTGACGGGGGGGGATGAGGAGCAGTATGTGGATCTGATGAGAATGAGAAAGAGGTTCAAGG